AAAGTATTCCTCTCTTCAAAAATATCTCTTAAAAGAGTTTTATGGAGACCCTTAAGTGCTAAGAATCCTTAAATTTGATTACTGTGCATCAGATGTATGTGACTAACTAGGGAAACTTATGTCAATTGTATGGTTGAAGGACAGAATTAAAATTTTAGTGCTGAACATAATATATTCACATACAGATAAAGGTTTATAATGATGTGCACTGAGACATATAATATATTTCAGTGTTACTTCAAAATATTAAAAGAAGAAAAGAATTACATTTGGAAGTAAGCACAGGCTGGTTCTTACTGATTCCTTAAGTCAGAGGTGGTTACTTGATCACATACTTCACAGTGGCAATATATTTCTTAGATCTCATCTACATGTTGCTCATTCTATTCTAAGGAATTTGACCATTAATGTAATGGAGTCAGTATATATTGTATAACTGTATCTTTTCAGTACTGCTTCAAAAAAAAAAAAGGACAAAAATCTAAAGTCAATCCCCTAAATCATATGAACACTTGAGGTTTGGAACTTGTCAATACCAACTTCTCTGAAGTCATAACATAATTTTTTTTCCTTTGATGATTGTATTACATACAAGACAAGGAGGGCTTTGATTTTCTACTGTGTTGATTACAACTTCCTAATTCTGAGAAGTCACATATTTCTCTAAGCAACAGTTATAAAAAATTAGAATAGTGACATTTACCCAATGAGGTGATTTTGAGGATTAAAGGAGAAAATTTGTCTGTAGCAAACACTTAATAAAAGATTGCTACTACTACTGCCACTAATTAATTGAATTATATTTTCCTTTTTTTTAACACAATGAGCATTATTCTATTTCAGAAAATCTGAACAAAAGAGGAAGAAATGGATTTTCCTTTACACTTAAAGTTTCCTTTACAATATAACATCTCATTAAAATTTGCATTCATTTTTATTGGTGGAATTAAATAATCAGAATCTATAAAGGCGGGCCCTCAGCAGGAGTTCCTTGAAAATGTTTTGTAGGTGATTCTGAGTCCACCTTTCAGAACCACTATATAGCAAGTCGTTCATCAGACTTTGGCATATTTCTTTCTGGCCTTCTATGTGACTTAAAAAAAAAAAGTAGTGTTGCAGTCATAAAATGCAGATGATTTAATATTTTCATTCTCTGAACATGGATTTTTTTTAGTTTATATTCTTTTTTTTTATTACAAAGTTTATTTTTACATCATTTTGCACATTTTTTTTTTCATCTCGATTGTAACCCCCGCGGGTTTCCCATCACCAAATCACCCCTGTGCCACCACCATAGTCCCGTGTATTTCCCTCCTCCCCCCCCCCCGTTTTTGATCCCGTTCCCCACTCCGCCCCCACAGAATGTCTCTGGTATATGGTTGTTCATTATTTTTGTTATTTTCTTGCCTGGTCCATTATACTCCTGCTATGAGTGAAACCATCGGTATTTTTCTTTCTCTTTCTGGCTTATCTCACTAAGCATGATCTTTTCCAGCTCCATCCAAGTTGCTGCAAAAGACATGTGTTTCTCTTTTTTGGTTGCTGAGTAATATTCCATTGTATATATGTACCACATCTTTCTAATCCAGTCATCTACTTTTGGGCATTTGGGCTGCTTCCATGTTTTTCCAATTGTAAATAAAGCAGCAGTAAACATGGGGGTACAAGTATCTTTTTCAATCAGTGTTTTTGTGTCTTTTGGGTAGATACCTAGGAGTGGGATTGATGGGTCGTAGGGAAGCTCCATGAACATGATTTTTTAAAAAATCACAAGCACCTGCCCTCCCTGGTGGCACAGTGGTTTGAAGCACTGTACTAAGAAGCTTAAGCCCCTTCCACATGAGTTCTATCCCCGCCTGCCCCGGAGGAGATCCACATGGTGAGGCAGACCTCTCCTGACCCGCCCGCTGCTCCCCTCAGCAGTGTACTTCCTGGATCTGCCTGTTCTGCTCCCTGCTCTGTCCCTGGTGAATCCTCTCACCCTCCGCATCTCTGGCCTACACCCCAGTTCTGTATGAATAAATAAATAAATTTTTTAAAAAAAATCACAAGCACTTTCTGAAGAAACTATATAATCTTCCTAAGTATCAGTTTCATGACCTCATGATGTTGGGTATAATGCAATTAAAAATATTTTTTTCGGCCCTCCCTGGTGGCGCAGCGGGTTAAAGCACTGCACTGAGAATCTAAAGCCGCTTCCGCATGAGTTCGATTCCCGCCTGCCCGGAGGTGACCACATGGCGTGGCAGACCTCTCCTGACGCGCCCGCTGCTCCCCTCAGCAGTGTACTTCGTCGATCTGCCTGTTCTGCTCCCCACTCTGTCTCTGGTGAAGCCTCTCACCCTCCGCATCTCTGGCCTGTACCCCAGTTCTGTATGAATAAATAAATAAATCTTTAAAAAAAATATATTTTTTTCTAAATCTCATCATAAATGAATCTATAATAGATGTCATCATATGTATAGCACCTTTCTTAAAAAAGATTATATTTATTTTGGAGATTAGTGATAGAGTGAGTTACTTGTATTGTTTTTCCCAGGATAAGAGATGACTTCCCTCTGTAAGAAAATCCATGAACTTTTACTCATGATGAATGGTAGAGAATTGTTGGGTTGCTTTCTCAGCTCCACTTGGTTAAGTTGCACTCACAATGCAAAGCTCACTGAGCAAGTTTTGATTCAGTATCATTATCATGGTATTACTGAGTCAACTTTGTTAATATAGATAGTTAGAGGTATTGATTAAAACATAAGATACCCAGATTAGAAATTTAGCAAAACTAGAATCATACGGTATTATGTCATTGTAACTTGTCTAGAAAATTACTAAAGCTCTCCTATTGTCATATACTTTTAAAAGAATGTGACAGAGATGCATTTATTGCCCTTACCAGTAACTCTCTTTAGATTAGAAGTTAAGAATAATTTTGTGCCTTTCAAGGAAACTTGGGAGACCAGGGCACTTTAGTGGCTGCTGTCAGTGTTTTGGTGAAGGCAGAAGGGCCTTTGTGGAGATTTGAACCTAGAACTCTGAAAGTTGGAATGATGTAAAGCAATAATTAAAAAAAGAAAAATATGCAACACACATTACTTGACAGTTGCACATATTCCCTCAACGTTGAATATGCTAGAACATGCAACTTTGGGTATAAGCGAGTAATCACAGGAAGAAAAAGGGAAAGGTGAGTGGATAAATTGGGAAAATTTAATAAAGAACTAGTAAAAATTAAAATAAAATAAATATCGTAAAATGAAAAATAAAGAAAGGAAAAATGCCATAAAGTTAGAATCTTTTAGATTTTGCAATGGGTCTTGAATCTCTGGACGAGCCAGAAATAATTATTTCCATTTCATCTGCATTCCACTTTATCTTTTAGATTTAGGCCCACCCACAAAAATTATTATATTAACCAAGCAAAGATCTTTTAAATCCTTTAAGAAGGCAGAATCCCCTCTCTTCTAAGCTATACAAAGTAAAACAATTTAAACAGAAAACTTTATTTTTTTGTACTTTTATCTATTTCAGCATTTCTCTTCAAAGTACAATGTTATATACTTTCAACTCAAGAAAGAGAATGAACTTAATCATAGACAAAAAACTACAATTCAGTAATATATTTGGCTTCCTTCTTCCTTTATTTAAGTATACAGGCACAGCGAGTACTAACTGGCTCAGTTTTGTACCTTTAGTTATGATTCAAATGTAAATGTGGACCACCATTTTCTGTGCTTCAGGAAATCTCATTGTTCAGTGTGGACTCTGGGATGTAGGAAGGTCACCAAGTCCAAAAACACCTGCAAGAATACTTTTTATTAAAGTCTTTGATTTGGAGCTGATGTAGTGGGCAGAAGTTCTCTTTCAAATTAATTTAGCTCTGCTGATGTTCAAACACCACTTCAACAGGAGCTATGGCATCGTTTCAGAAGATACAAGCTTTAAGATGAACTGTTGAAAAGACAAATGAAAAAGACAACTGGTATTTCCTGTCATTTGTTGTATAGCAGAGACAGAATGGCTACCAAATAGTCAGAATCAGACTCCTAATATTTTAGCTACCAAGGAAAGAAAAGCAATAGCTCTGAACAAAACAGGACAAGACTCATCAAGAATTACCTTAATGCAAAGTAATTCTGGTTGCAGTTGCTGCACCAGATGTGGCCTCTTTGCTAGAGCAGAATGTCATGGCTATGAGTGCATGGTCTACTGTCTTTAACCTAAAAAATAATCTAATTTACACAGACATAAAACAATCTCAGAGGGAACAAAAGGCAGAAACCGAGTCATTGATGTTCGCTCTGGGTGATGAGAAAGTTGGGATTCAGAGGTCTATAGCTAAAATACATTTCCAGGGAAAGCCTTAGTCCTGCTGTGTGAATTGACTGAACATCGCACTGGAACTTCAGCTGTGGAAAAGATGTAGAACAAAGACATTAAGAGGAAAAAAAGGATTTTTATATGCAAAAAAAAAAAAAAAAAAAGGCAATAGATATACAAAAGAAAAAGCAGATGTAAGATTCGCCAGGCGACGTTCTGTCTGTGAAGTGGACTACCAGAATGGCCTATTGATGTGGGCCATATTACTGTGCTGTCAGCAGAATATATTTGGGCATCAAAATGAGTTTTCACTTGATGCCTGGGAAACACAGTCAGTGCCAAACAATTGTGGAGTGTGTTTAATTTGACATAACTGTTAGGATAGGAATGTTATTTTAACTAACTTGCCCTATCTTTCATATGAAAATATTTTGTTCCTTAGATACTATATAGCTCTTTTGGATAGTTGTACTATACTTTACTTTAAATTTCCCTTCAAAATATTAATTTTATACATGGTATATTTATCCTGGCATATTTAGTCTTCAGGTGATATATGTGAATTCTACATAAAAACAATACATTCTCTGTATTAACATATTCATAGTGGAAATGAATATAAGCATGTTCAAACATTTCTATTTGTATTATTAACGATAATGGAAAGTTTCATATTTTATTTTTAGGGTGAAATCTGTTCCAAGTAAAATGGAAAAAATTGACAATAAAGTTAAAAGGATTGGGCCACACATAGACATTTTCCAAGTGTTCCGGGAAAACAGCAAATTGCATATTAATAAAAAAACAGTCAGACTGGTCATCACCATGCAGGCCTACGTCAGAGGGTGGCTCGAACGCAAAAGGTTCCAAAGAATAATGACCAAGGTAAAGTTTACAGTAAATGTTCTCATGCACTTAAAGTGTATGTAGACTCTACTTAAGTAGAAATTTCCACAGTCACCTGGTCAGTTACATATATCTGTCCACATCGTTGCTATACATCTGGCCGGTGACATACTCCTAATTTGAGAATCAAGCCTAAGTCTATCTGATTTTAGTGTTGTTAGAATATTAGGCCATTCTGGTAACAATAGTATCCAATACTCATTGCAAAATGGTGGCCTTTGATTAGACTCAAAATGGATGGTGGAGTAACCTGCCAAAAGTTGAGGCTATGTAAAAGCCCTCCTGTCACTATAGAGTCAGTTAGATTATATTCACATATGAGAGATGATGTGAAAAGACTAGCTGCATTTCTATAGAGAAGCACAAGTCTGCTGCAATCAAAAGATGCTACTCATATTTTTCAGAGTGTACCGGAAGATTCAGTGATATAGCTGACCAAGACTATCTGCTTATAGTCTCTATACTGAGCACTTATAGATAAATTGATTGACCTTGTACTTCAGTTCTTGACAAAAATAATCATTCTAAATTAGTACACATGTAGGAGACACAAAGAAGAGACCTGAAAAGGAGAAGGGCCGAGCCAGGGAGAGAAATCCTTTAGCTACATGTTCGGTTCAGTGCTTCACTAATTCTTTAGTGGGTGGGAATGTGGACAGAAGAATCACCCTTAATATCATTTGTGTCTTGCATATTTATAGGAATGTTTGTGTGTATACTAAGATAACTATTCAGGTTATTTAGTTTTTATTTCATAGTATCTAGGTTTAGGCATTGAAATGAAATTTCCTTTTTGTTTGGGTAAGAGTTTTGAATGAATGTTCTTCAGTATGTTGTATGTAAGTGTTTAAGACAAGGTTAGAATTCAATCACAAGATATCTACTTTCAGATCTAGAACATAATTTTTAAAGTTAAAAAGTCAAATGAACTGTGAAAAATATTTGAAAAATAACAATATTTGAAATTTTACATAATGTGTAAGTAGCTCAAGTTTTTTTTTTTAAGTTGATGTATAATAAGTGTGATGTGGATTAGAACATTATAAATAATAATTTACAATGAGACTTGTATTCTAATATTGCTGTTAAAATATCAGTTTGTGTATTCTGATAACTTATCTTGAAAAATGCATAGAAATGAGGTGAAATGTTTACATTCTGAGGCGCATATTTTCATGCAGAACACTGGCAGAGAAGCACACAGTAATAACAATTAACAAGACAGGTCAGTGTCTTTTTCTCTCTTCCAGCTTCTTAAATATGAAAAACTGCTAGATAACCTTTCAGATGTCTCAGATCTGAAAAGACTTTCCTGATGAGACAGGTTGTGTCCCTAAAGTATATTCAGCGTGAAAGTACTCAGATTGGTAACTGTCCAGTGTCCCTGTGAAGCAAACAATGTCCATTTAATTAACACTCTTCAAACAAGGGCCTTTTGAATCATGTTCTAAAAGTACAGTCAAAACAGTGCTTGACTCTTAAATATAAACAACCAGACAGACACAACTGACAGATTTATCCAGAAAGATAGTGAGTAGAATATTCAGCAGAGGTCTAGAGAACTAAGCTCAAAAACATGAAGGAATGAGCAAGGTTTAATAACTGCTGTAGTCAAATCCTGCACAGAGGGAGACTGTTGCAGTTTTTGAATCTTGGGTATTCTTGCCTTCACAAATGCTGCCCTTGAAAAATGAATATTGCTGCCACAGTTACTCTAGCACACAAATACGTTTCCCACTGTTTCACTTTTAAAAGCATTATTAGCTTCAATTCAAAACCTAGGGCTGGTGAAGATAATGAATGAAGCTTTGTCATGTGTCTGCATCCTAGCAACAGAGGAGACTTGGGTCACGAGTATATGATTTTTGGCTTAAGATGGTAGGAGGTAAGCTTTGCCTCACACTAAGATTCATATGGTGGGAAGGTGGGAATTGCTCCAGAAGTGTGACCAGTTCATTATTTCTTTTTTATACAAAAGAGCCCATTGAACAAAAGATTAAAATGGCAAATTGGAAAATGTTATTAAATGTTGAAAACATTAGCGACATTCAGAATCTGCCATCAGATAAAGGGATATAAAAGAGGAAATTGTGAATTAGACTGATTTATTTTTTCATTCAGGGAAACCAAGAAATACTGATATTGTTAAATTAAGAAATGTAGGCTAGAATGTAGTATTTAAAAACTTCAGAGAAGTACAACAAAGATGAAAAAATAAAATAATAAAAATAATCTTTAAAGACTCCTAGGAAACCAAAAATAAATAGCAGGAGCAAGAACAATCATAAGTGCAATAAAAACAAATACATGAATATTTGAAATTTACCAATAAATCAAGAAATAAGAAAGACAATTTACAAAGTGGTTATAATAAATTCAAGTAAATTAAGAGGAATGTGACTTATAATTAAAAATGTGGTCTCTGGTTTTGAAACTAACTTTGCAACTTACTATGAGTGCTTATTAAACACATTTTGTGTATGGGGTTAAGCAATCTAATTTCATTTTGCTGCCTATGGCTGTTAAAGTTTCAACACAGTTTGTTGAAGAAGCTTTCCTTTCGCCATCGTGTGATCTGTTATATATTAGCAATCCATATTTGTGTGGGTTTTATTCTGGGCTCTGTCTGTCTGTCTGTGATTTTTTGTCCTAGTTGCATACTGTTTTGATTACTTTTGCTTTGTACTATAGCAATAATAGTATAGTTTAAGGTGAAAGAACACATTACCTCCTTTTTCCTGTTTTCCCCAGGAATGTTTTAGCTATTCAGGGTCTTTTGTGGTTCCAACAAATTTTTATAATTTTTTCTTTTATTTTCTGGAAAAAATATCACATAATTTTTATAAATACAACATTGAATCTTTAAAATGCCTTAGGGATATGACCACTTACTTTTATTTTTCTGATCCATGAACACAAGAACTCTATTTGTCTTTTTTTTTTTTTTAGTGTCTTATAGTTAATGTATATGCCTTTCTTTCTTTTTTTCTTTCTTTTTTTTTTTAAGATTTATTTATTTGTGCAGACAGAACTGGGGTACAGGCCAGAGGCTCAGGGGTGGTGAGAGGCTTCACCAGAGACAGAGTTGGGAGCAGAACAGGCAGATCGACGAAGTCGACGAAGTACGCGGCTGAGGGGAGCAGCGGGCAGGTCAGGAGAGGTCTGCCAGGCCTTGTGGTCACCTCCGAGTCAGATGCAAATCTAACTTATGCGGAAGTGGCTTTAGCTTCTCAGTGCTGTGCTTTAACCTGCTGCGCCACCAGGGAGGGCAGCCTTTCTTTTTTTTGTTAAGTTTACTCTCATCTATTTCATTCTTTTGGTGGAATTGGAACTGAATTTATTTTCTTAATTTTCTTTCCTATATTTTTTATTTGCATATAAAGATGCAATAGGTTTTTAGGTCGTGATTTATATCCTGTCACTTTTCTGCATTCATAGATTTTTTTTAGTAGTTTTATCTTTTGTAGTCTTTTATTTTTTCCATGGATATAATGCCATCTTGTCTGTTGGCAAGACTCTTTGGAAAAAAAGAATACTTATCCACTGGTGATAGGAAAGTAAATTGGTACATCCTATATGGAAAATAGTATGGATATTCCTTAGGGAAATTAAAAATGGGAATACCATATGACCCAGAAATACCACTCTTAAGTTACTTACTTGAATAATATGAAAATATTTATTCAAGAATCTCATGTCCCTATTTGCCCAGCAGTATTATTTCCCATAGCCAAGACACAAAGCCAACCTAAATACCCACTTAAAATGACCGGGTAGATTGTGGTATATATACTTAATAGAATACTACTCAGCTATTAAAAAGGGTGAGCATAGTGTCTTTTTAGTACACAAAGTGCATGGATTTGGGCTAAGTATACTAAGTTAAATGAGTCAAACTGAAAGTCAGTAACAAGATGGTTTTACTCATATGTGGAATATGAATAAACAAACTATCAAATATAATAAAAGTAACTTAAACTAGGATAAGTGGGAGGGAGGTTAGGTATGTGATAGTGTGTATTGGAACTGAGTTTTGGTGGAGCGTGATTGAAGTATGTGCACACACTGAAGTGTAAAGTTATCCTCCCCAAATTATATACCTATATGAAAGAAAGATTGACAAATGAATAAATTTGTTAAAATTAAATAAATTTATAAGATTATACTTCAGCTTTTTCACTTGTAAAATGGTACACAAAGCACATCAAAGGAAACTGGCTCAAAGGAAAATTCACAACAAATGCATTTCTTTAAGAAAAGAGAATCATGAATTTGTCATTAAGTTAAGAAGTCAAGAATAGGAAGATAAAACTTTTAAAAGGAAATAACAAAAGTAGGAGAGAAATTTATAGGCTGAATATTGTAAAACTTCGAAACAGCTGAATTGATAAACTTCAACTGGCCATCAAGGAAAGAAAGTGACCTGAAATAAATGAATTTCTACACTTTAACTTTTAAAAGTCTTTGCCGTACGATGTAGAAATCACAGTTAAAAGGCAAACAGATGTAACAAAATTTGTGTGTTTGCTGAAATGGGTTATTTATTTTAAAATTCAGTTTTTTTTTTACAAACATCCAAACTGTCAATAAAAAATAGACAAAAGTCATGAGTATACAACTTTTAAAGAAAGAAATTGAGGATTAAAGAAGTTTTGGCAAGAATAATCTATTACAGAGTAATGCCTTCATAAAACTTTAATTTTTTTCTGAGTAGGCTACACATCATAGAAATCTAGCAAGTGTGAATGAAAATACCATTGAGAGCCCTTTTCCATGTGAAAAATGAGCATTTGACTACAGAACAGTCCACAGTGAAACTCAGTGATATTTAGGGAGATTATCCCACTCTATAATGCACACATTTAACCAATTTAGTACAATAAACATTAATAAATATACCTATAAGCTATGAAATTGGGTGAGATAGATGAATAAAATAAATAAAATCAGATTTAACATAAACAACAGAAGTATGCAAGTTTCACTGTCTGCTTTGTTATTTAATAGGCTTTGTATCATGGACCAAATTTGAAAGCAGTTATAAATATGTATTGCAAACTAATCCATCGTGTTAAACATCGACTTGGTCTTTGGAGAACAAAACAAGTTATAGACTTACCAGAACTGGAAGAATGGATGGACAGAAAAAAATGTAAGAGATACAATCATTTCTAATTTGATTTTAAGTTAGGAATTCATTTGGCCATTTATATTTTACATATAATATACATATAATGACACATAAACTTCAAAGGTAGACCATATTTTATGTTGCTGTCACATAATTCCATTTAAGTTGATGTATATTTGGAATAATTAATTAGCATCCTGTGTGTATAAACAACAGAAACTTACCCTAGCTTACCAAAATTGAAAGGTAATTTAAAGGTAAGATACATAAAAATGATAACTAAAAAAAAAAAATCCCATTTTAGAAAGAACATGAGCCAAAGCTGCTTCAAAGTCAAAGGAACAAAATATAAGGGACACTTTGTTTGTCACAAGGGGAAAGATAAGCTGCTATTACTTTAAGTCATTGTTCCCAGCATTGAATTGCAATCCCGGTGAGAGGACACATATTGGTTTAGCTTGAGTCATGTTTCAATACTTTGCTATGGGAGGGCAAGGACATTTACTTAAGTGTGCCACAGAGACCCTGTCCAGTAGGAGAGGTACCTCCCTAAAGAAAAACTACACATTAACAGAAGATCAGTTAATGGACATTGACCAGGTAGAAAACGTATTCCATTATGCTGCTTATTAATTGTGAACTATCCACAGAATGAGTTCCTCAGTTTATATCTTAACTTTCACAGAACCTGATTTTTATTATATTTAATGAGTTCGATATTGCTCAAAAATAGGATGGTTATTGCAGTCATTTTTTTGATTAAAACATAAATGAGAATTTCTGTTTTTGGTTTTGATGTAAGGTGCTTGGAAATCAGCACTCTCTTCATAAGTACAAGTGTTTTTAAAAACACTTTTTTGGATCTATATGACAGGATGACACAAGCAAAAGAACATACAAATACCAGAAGTCATGGCTGGCCAGAGCAGAGACTTGGAAGAAAAACTGATGTGGGGCTCAGATTTAGGAAGGAAAAAAATGCATCATAATTGATGCATAATGGGGGTTCAGTATGGACAACTCCAGAAGGAACCAGACATAGGGTAGGGCCATCTTTTTGTGAAATTTGTCCAAGGAGCTCAATCATAATCCCATAGTAAATATTAAAAAGAAGGAGCCATACCTCTCTGTTCTTATTACAGTCAGCCATGAGGGAAGCTAGTTAACCAAGTTAACTTTCATGTGAGCCAGGCCAGCAAATACAAATGTCCCCTTTGATTATTTGAATGTGTGTGTGTGGGAGTGGGGGGAAATAGAAAGTGGGGTACACACTCCCTTCTGCTGGTCCATAGGAGGTTAACATCCTTCTAATCATGGAAGCTAATACTAGTCATAAATATAAAACTGGAGTTCAAATTTCTTCACATTCAGACAAAACGTTTTGGTGGTTTGTACTTGATTTATATATAAAGAAAATATATTCCTTTAACTTTTTCTTTTCAGATTACGAAATAATGTTCGCTAAGAGAGAAGAATGGCAAGGAATAGAAAGAAGCGAACTTCTCAATTACTTCAATGATTGTGGTCATTTCCCAACTCAGGAGAAAATCGATGACGTTTACCAGCTGGTCTACAGTGGTATGTAGTTTTTGCTTCTTCTATTCCCTTTGCTTTCTTTCCTTCCTCCCCATTTTTCTCCCTTCTCCTTTCCTTCCTTACTAGTCTTTTATTTAGCTTGCACATACATATTTTTCCTCAATGGAAAAAATATGCTTGTAATATATATAAGATTTATAGGGCAGGTTAACATGATTTCATATGATACATATTTTGGGGGAATGGAGGAGGTAATTTTATTTTTTTGAAACTCAATAGTTTTGATATGTTATTCCCAGCGGTATATTTTAAACTATCATATTTTCAATAACAATGCTAAAAAACGTTCTTCTGCATAGTTGGACATAACCAATACTTTGTTAAGGGAGGGCAAGGACATAACCAAGTTTAAATGTTTGAACACTGTTAACTACTTAATAGGCTTGAATTTTACATTTAGAATATAGTTTCTGAAGAGTAAATAAATGAAAAGATAGTATTACAGAGAATACTTAATTTAAATGAAACATTCCTCCTTTTGAAGATTAGTAATGAATGCGAATTGTCGACAGTATGTGGGGAGTCATAGTACATATTCCATGACTCCTTCAGCTTCTGTGTTTTTATGTCTGGACGGATGCTCTGACCTGCTATACACTGAAAAAGAGTGGGTGGGTGATATAGCCAAAGTTTCATTAAGAAGTAGGCAAGCAAACAATCAAGCATTTCAGGACCCTTTTTTAGTAGAAAAGACTGACAAGATTGAAGCTTCATTATAGATTTGGAATTCTTTTCCTTCATAGCTTTTAATGTTAATCGAACTAATGCATTATCTGTGGACTCTTGTTTTGACATTGCTCTAATTCTAGATCTAGACTCTGGATATGTGTTTGTTCACAGACTGGTAGGAACATCCAAAATCTCTTTGCATCTCACTGGTCATGGCTAGTTTGGGTGTTTAACATTTGTCCCAATGACAAATACATTAGATGTAGATGTTTATTACAGAATTTTTAGGAATATATATGTATATATATTTTTAGGAATATATATATATATATATATATATATATATATATAACTGCTAAGAAATAATATTTGATGTTTGTTTTCTGTGAAGTGATTTTTTTTGAAATTTTGTGACTATTTTTTGTATGTTTGAAAGTGTGCTTTTTTACTTGAGGATATTCTTAAGTTTCCAGATAATAAGCATCACTGGCAAATTTTATGACTGAGTAATAATTTTCATATGGATGTTCCATAATGTATTTACTATTGTCATTTAAATTATTTTCTTTTTTCTTTATAATAAACAAGGTAAATGTGAATGTTGTAAAATGGATTCAATCAGGTATTCAGGAATTTATAGTGATTAGTGTTAGTTATTTAAAATATATATATTTTTCAAATCAGCAGCTTCATAGATATTTTCATCTACTGATTATTTTAGAATATATATGATAAAAGTTTTGATTTAGTGCATGTTTCTAGAATGATTTTGTGTGGGTTTAATTCCTGGCTTTACTAAATATATTACTGTGGTCAAGTTATTTGTCTCTGCTGTCTTATTTTCTGAAACATACAGGGAAGAAAATACTACTTAAGTCACTGGACTGTATGAGTTTTGCATAAAATAGTTCATGTAAAATATGTGACCCATTTGAGATGCTCAATAAATGTTTGCTGTTATTTTCAAATAATTATTAAGCATGTTAGGTAATTGTAAGATTGTCATAATTATTATTATTATTTTTTACTTTGGAAATGTTTAAGTGTTGAGCTTAATCTTACAGCGATTCATTTTTTATATTTTATACTGAGTGTGATCGATTACTTTCCACATATTTTATCTCTTGATTATCATAATTAGCTATGTGCCAGAGAAGGGATATGTTCATTTTTCAGATGAAAGGACTGAGTCTTAGAAAGAGCTAATTGGTAGAGCTGGAACTTCGTATTTTAGACACTGTATTTTAATGTGTGGAGACACTTTAAAAGTCAATATTATGAAAACATAGATAGGTGATTAAAACACTCTTGACAGTAAGTAAAGTCTTTCATTGATCTTTCACAGCTTAATGCATTTTAACATAGATTTTTCTCTAAATGATTGAATCTGTTAAAATTCTTTTTAAACTAGAATTTCAAAAGAAAATCTAGTTTAAAAGCATATTATTTTTAGTATAAAAATTAGGAATCCTCCCTTTAAAGAAAGGAATGAGTCAAGCATAATTTGAAATATATGTTCAGTTATGTTACAGCCATTTAAAATTTTCTTTGGCTCATATAAAACTTTCATTTAAAATGGAAATATGCTAAGATAATGTAACGTAAAAAAAATAGAAAAATATGGAAAACGAAGTTAATGGCTTTTTACTTGCTTCTGGTATATATTCCCGCTCCAAGGGAATCTGATTTGATGTGTTTTAGGTTGTCAGTCATCTTCATTCATACTCATTTCCATGATGGTGTATAATAACTGCAGATGTGGAAGCTGTGCAAGTTTTCATCCAGTAGAATATTTTATTTAATGCATATTAATTTACTTGATTAACTTCTTCAGTGTATGATACCAAATCTGTCAAATTCCAAAAATTTCTGTATGTGTTCAAATAATTTTAGATTTTTTTCATTCTTTATCAGGTGGTAACAGTGTTTTTTATGACTGATATTTGTCTGAAAATTTTTCTTTTGGAGAATGAATTAACTTTAGGCTGATCTTAAAAACTGGAAGACTCTGTAAATGTGAGAACCTTTACTGGATAAATCTCAGTGATGAAAGTAGTAATGGTAAAATAGTATATCTGAAAACAAGGAAAATCATAGTTTTGTGTCAGTAAAAGCTATTTAAATCTTTCCCTCCTAGGACTTGAATATCCCACAATAAACTGTAGGCCAAACCCTAAGAGCAAAATGCAACTTTGAAAGGTCTATCACCACCTAATTCAAGCAGCTGCTCTTGACAAGTCTGCCTGTTCTCCTCCCACTTTTAAACAATGATTTTTGCCATATTGTCTCAGGTTACATCATTTAACTCTGTTAGTGTCTCTTTCCCCCTAACCATGACTGTACAAAGCCTGTGAAAGTCTGTACCAGTGAGGTGCACTGGGAATGGTCATGGCCAGCAAGACTTTCCCTTTGGTTCCTCTTTTCTATTCTACAGTTAGGTGAACTGTTAACACCAATTAGTAAGTACTCTAATTAGCCATTTTGTTTTGTTTTGTTTTTTTTTAGTCTTTTATTATTTGGGTTGAAATATTTGTGCCATTGTTAGATCAGGTGCACAGAAAACCTGATTAAATTTTGTAATATTACTTAACACCAGCCATTCTTCTAAGGTCTGTCTGTTTTCTTTAAGTAGAAAATAACCATCTTTAAGAAACAGCAGGAACAGCAGGGGGTTTAAGAGTGGTGTAAGTTCAATAAAGGTATAATTACATGCATAAGTCTGTAAGAGAGTAAGCCTTTTGGTTCTTTTTGTTATATTACTGTTTATTGTGATTACACACCCAGTCTTCTAAACATGCAGAGATCCACACTTAGGTCATCGTTTTATATGATCAAATTACTATAATATCAGGTTTATAAACTTTCTGATGCAAACAATTTTGCTAAGCATCTCTGATGAATAAAAGACACATTAACATAAAATATCACAAACCTTGAAGAACCTAAGATTTTTAAAATAGTATAATTATTCCAACACCCTAAACATAGTATCGGTGCTTTGTTTTTTTCTGAAATTTCACTTGATTCCAAGTCTTGTTAATTCCTGAAGTGAAGTAAAAACTTAAAAAGGGCTTAAAGTACTTTTCAGCCTTTACAGTCAAATAAGTTTTTCAGTTTTGACTTAGTGCACTTCTTAAGTCACCTTTAAGAATGAGCATTTTGTAGCATTTCTGAGTCAGGCTGCTAAAAGAAATCATGCTTTGCTGTGTAAGCACCCAGGCTATCTACGAAGTGTGATCGGTATGAAAACGAAAACTTATGATTCAGATTTGTCAAGCAAAGCTTTTGTGGGAAACTGCCAGTTTGGCAGCATGGAAGGCTTGTTTCATTAAAGTTTATCTTTAGGTCCATGATAATCCCCTGAGAGTTTCATTTGACCTTTTTAATTTCCAAGATTCAAAATTCTTTGACTATTTCACGTTGAAATCAACTGATACTGTAGCGTATATGTGTATTTATCAAGAAGTGGTAGCCTTTAGTGTGAGGAGCTGTTCATAGAGTAAGCTTCTTCTAAAGCATTTTGACAAATATCTCATATTCTGACCATAAAGATACTGGGTTTCTATTCTTCAGAAGTTCCTGCTAGTGATTCTTTATCACCCAGTGCTTGCCTAGTGTGATGAACAACCAAATGCCCTTTCAGTTGGTGGAGTTTAGTGGTTTGGAGAGAGAGAACCTGATTTTCATATACATCCTCACATGCTCATGTTCTCTTCAGATAAACACAGGTACATGCTTATCATACATCTGTACAGCATGTGCATTGTGGTTAGGAACACCCACAGGCACCAATAACTACCAATAATAAAGGAAGATATCAGAACTTTTACTTTTTCTTTATTTTTTGGTATAATTTAGTATTAGACTTTTGCCTTTACTTTCTTTACTATTAATCATTTCCTGTCTCTTATTGCTCCTCTCCTACACACCTACAGTTTACCTCACACATTTTCTAGCATTGAGATTTACATTTAGGATTAAACAATTGCTGTAAGTAATAACTCTTAAAGTAAGGTTTCATGACATACTTAGGTGTTTAAATAAGCCATAAAGTGAGTTCCAAATAACTGATTTTAAGAAAGTTAATGTACCCAGATTTTCAAAGAAATAAATGCAAGTGGATTAGAAGATAATCCTTATGCATTCTTAATTACTAGAATTCTAAAGACTGTTGAGGAGAGAAAAGATGGAGCTATTGCTAGAGAGCTAGGAACTCCCCCATGAGATGTAAACCTCTCCCTGGACTACGGTGGCCAGAAACAGAACGAGAACTCCTGTCTTGCAAGCATTAATGGTTCAAATAAGTTGGCTAA